AACACATTTGTACAATCGTCAGAAACATGTTCTGCTGATCCCTCCAGTCCCCTTTGAGTCGATGTGCCATGTCTGGAGAGCTGACCATTTACACTGCCAACACCACTGGCCACAGATCATGAGCTTACCGGATTCATACTGAGCCCCACCAAGGCCAGCTTGACTCTTTCTCACCTTCTCTGCAACTAATATCCGGTGGTGGAGCTAACAGAACTAACAGTAACTAACAGAAGTGACACTTATTTCCTAACTACATGCTCAGATGCATAGCAATAGCCCAGCTGATTTTAAAATAGTACAACAGTTCAGTAAAAACAAAGTTACTGTACAGTAGTGTAGTATAGTATAGCTAGGATGCAAAATAAATTGGTACAATATTGGCCAATATATTGGTTGATTTTGGATGTTTAATTGTGCGAGATGATTTATTCTTTTTTTTTTTACATTTAGATAACTTTGTCGTCATCTAACACTTCTAACTAGTTCATCTTTAAAAACAGTATTAATTGTTCAATTCAATGTTAAAAAATAAAAATAAAACTTAAATCTCAACATACAGTGGGCATAGAAAAGCCCCCTTTAAAATAATCACATTTTGTTGCTTGTTATAACATCCAAGTGAAAGATAGAACACCAACATATCAAGGGAAAAAAACATTCACTGAGTTGGAAAAAGGATCACCCCCTCCTAAAAATGACTTGTAAACTCAGTCAGGTGTAGCTAATCACCATCTCAGTGACTCACAAAGCCATTTGACTTTCAACTGTGATCAGCTGTGGTCATTTTGATCAGCTCAGCATGAAAAGAGCTTTCCTGGAGCATTTCAGTCCTTGGTAGTGCAACTGAAGCAAACAATCAACTATGGATGGCAAGGCACTGTCAAAAGATCTCCGGGATAAAGTTGTGGACAGGCACAAGTCAGGAGATGGATACAAAAAATCTAAAAGGCTTTATCAATGCCTAGAAGCAAAGTGAAGTCAATTATTAAGAAGTGGAAGGTATTTGGTACAACACAGACCCTCCCTGCATCAAGATGTCGCTCCAAACTGGATGAAAGAGCCAGGAGGAAACTGGTCAGAGAGGCAACCAAGAGGCCTACAGCAACTCTGAAGCAGCTGCAGGAATTTATGACAAAGAGTGGTCATTGTGTGCATGTGACAATATTACAAACTCTCCACAAATGCTTGTATGGGAGGGTTGCAAGAAAAAAGCCACTCCTCAAGAAAGGCCACAAGCAGTCACGACTGAGCTTTGCCAAAACACACCGTGAAGATTCTGAGACAGATGAGACTAAAATTTAATTATTTGGCCTCAACACCAAACGATACATCTGGCAGAAATCCAAAACAGCTCCAAATAACAGCATTCCTCCAGTAAAGCATGGAGGTGGTAATATCCTGTTATGGGGTGTTTCTCTGCAGCAGGGACTGAAGCACTTGTCAGGATAGAAGGAAAAATGGATGGGGCAAAATACAGTCAAATTCTTGGTCAGATGTTATAAGTTGATGAGTAAATACAGTCGGATAAAACAAAAACTGTGTTTGTCTTCATTTCAGGCTGCAAAGCAACAAAATTTGATTATTTTAAAGAGGGTTGATTATTTTCTATACCCACTGTAAATATCCATTCTTCACACTGTTCACTTCCATGCAAAAGTTTGGGGTCTGTAAGGTATTATTTTTAATGTTTTTGAAAGAAACATGATCTTATGCTCACCAAGGAATCATTAATTTACTCAAAAATACAGTAAAAACAGCAATTTTGTGAAAGAATATCATTATAATTTAAAAGAATTTCTTTCTATTTAAATATATTTTAAAGGGGTCATATGATGTTGCTAAAAAGAACATTATTTTGTGTATTTGGTGTAATGCAATGTGTTTATGCAGTTTAAGGTTCAAAAAACACATTATTTTCCACATAATGTACATTATTGTTTCTCCTCTATGCCCCGCCTTTCTGAAACGCGTCGATTTTTACAAAGCTCATCGGTCTGAAAAGCAAGGTGTGCTCTGATTGGCCAGCTATCCAGTGCATCGTGATTGGCCGAATACCTCAAGCGTGTGACAGAAATGTTACGCCCCTCACCATATTGTG